CCCAAAACTCGATCAATTGAGATATTTATCTATCGGTACACACAATGGTGTCAACATAAATGTCATGCAATCGATGCCTAAACTAAAGTCTTTGCATTCAATAAATGTGATTTTGTCCCCAAAAATGGTTAATTTCAGACAAATTTATCCAAACGTAAAGGTTTTAGATATGGATTGCATTTCAATCAAATGCGAGTGCAATAAAGACAATGAAGACTCCGATGATTGTAATGAATGTGGACACAAATGTATGCAATTTGTATCACAATTGCCACAACTGAAGCGATTATATATCGGTGACTTTACCCTCGAGTTCAATGATCTTAAACTCTTCACTCATATAAAAGTGTTGTCTTTGAGACGTCATCAAAACTTTGATCAATTGTTTGACTTTATATCGCATTGCATTGAAAACATGGCGTCGAAGAAGTATTTCAAGCTTGTGTTGAGATCTGATGTAAAGGAACCGCTTCTTCGGCGTCTGAATGATATGAATGTTACGATTCCTAAGAATATTGTCATCAAATTTATTAATTAGTTTCAGTCACTTCATGCCGATTGAGGATCCGATGCTTTGAATGAGGTTTTGGTTACTTTCTGTTCGCCCAAATTAAAAAAAAATTGTTTAATAATCAGATCTAAACATGCCTTAATTAAAGTCAAATGTTTTTAATCTTAAAATTAAACAATTTTTAAATTACTTTTTTTTGGCAATTTAAGTTTAAAATAACATTTATCTAAAATTAATAAATTGTTTTTAATAAATATATCACTAATATATTAATATACATTTTAATGAGTTTTTAAATAAAATTAATTGTTTTACTAATTGTGTTTAATTGCATTTTTAATTATTTCATTAAAATGATAATCATGTAAATGGTATTAAATTTTGCAAAGGATTTATAATAAAACTTAATTTATAAAACATTTCCTTATAAAAATCCACTCAATAGTAATAAAAGTTTTAAATGATAGACATATTTAAGAATAAACTCTGAGATTACTTATGATTTTATTTTGTTTTGAAATAAAACTTTATTATTTCCTTTAAAAACACAACAATTAATGATTTACACATTTGCTGTCATAGAGTGCAATAGATGTGATTATTTCCATTTTGGTCGTCAAGAAAATCACATTTCTATAAAACTTATTCAAATCTATTGTAATAAATACAGTGTATAATTACCAGAGTGAATATTAACAATATAATTGTATTTATACCGTGAATTTCCACACTTTCACTATCTCAACCAACCAAATCGAGGCCCTGGAAAGACACCGGTTCATAACCGGCTAAAGCCTCGGCTTCACTAAGCGCAGCTAGCCCATAAACGGATTAGTTTGCTTTGTTTTCAATGCATTTAAATTGTGTTACGTTTTGAAGGTATTTGGAAAAGAGTTGGAAAACCTAAAGAGAGGCAAAAAACTGATTCAAATCGATCTGAAGAAAGCGGAGGGAAAAGACATTTTGAAGAGATTATGCCAAACAGCGGATGTACTCATCGACACATTCAGACCCGGAGTTATGGAGAAACTGGGTTTAGGGCCAGAGGTGTTGACGCCACTGAACCAGCGTTTGATTTACACGCGAATCACTGGTTTCGGACAAACGGGTTATTTGTCGCAAAAGGCCGGACACGACATCAACTATTTGGCCATTTCGGGCATTCTGTCGATGTTAGGCACACCCGAGAGACCACTTCCGCCCATCAATGTGTTGAGCGATTACGGGGGCGGAGGACTGATGGCAGCGCTGGGCGTATGTCTGGCCCTTTTCGAGAGGAGCAAATCAGGAAGAGGTCAAGTGATTGACTGCAATCTGACTGAAGGCGCGTCATATCTATGCCAATGGATATGGGAGTCAATGGACGACAACTATGGTATGAAAGGCATTGTTTGGCGCCAACCGACGGAACGGATGGGCAATATGCTGGACGGCGGCGCCCACTTCTACCGGTGCTATAGGACTCTGGACAATANGGATATGGGAGTCAATGGACGACAACTATGGTATGAAAGGCATTGTTTGGCGCCAACCGACGGAACGGATGGGCAATATGCTGGACGGCGGCGCCCACTTCTACCGGTGCTATAGGACTCTGGACAACAAATTCATGGCAGTGGCCGCACAGGAGTGGAAGTTTTACGAGCAATTTATCAACACTTTAGGCCTCGATATTAATGATTACGAGAGAAATGAGTTACAAAATTGGGGCCAATTGTCCGATAAAATTGCGGCCGTTTTTGCCACTAAAACCCAGAAAGAGTGGACAGAGATGTTCGACAAAGTGGACTGTTGTGTGACACCAGTGCTCGATATGCAGAGCGCTCACCAATACATCCATAATAGGGATCGCAACTCGTTTTTCCCGGACGGTAGGCCCAGACCGGCGCCCATTCTGTGCCGAACTCCGGCCAAACCCGTTGCGAGTGATAACGATGTGAACGACTGTTTGCACACAAAACAAGTGCTTATGAAATATGGATACTCTGAACAAGACATCAAACAATTGACGGCCAATAAAGTTATTACTGTAGAAAATACGTCAAAATTGTAATTTTTTTGATCAATAGTTAAAGGAAAATGTCTTAATTAAAAAAGTAATTTGAAACTTTTATTTGCAATTAATATCATAAATAAATTTGGTTTTAAAGAATACTTAAAAACTTTAAAAAAAAACATTCAAAATATTAAAAACAAAGTATTTTATTAAGCGGTTTGTGAGTGAAATCAGTTCACAATTGATTATTATCCATACTATTCGTTATTCACAATCAAATGGTTAATAAAAATATAATCACAAAAATTCATTCACTCTTCATTTAAGAAACTTTTAAAATAAAAACTTCTTTTAAAAACATTCAAAATATTTACAAAACAAATAATAACTCCGATTTCTAATCTCTTATTAACCAAAACTTTTAGTCTTTAATACATAATGAATGGCAAATCATGACCAATACATGCGAATCACATCCTGAATGCCGGCTCGACATTTAGGGCACTGTCCCCACCCGGGCCCTCGCCATTGCTTCGCCGCACATGAGTAACACATACACGCGTGTCTGCACCTGAATAGTATGCTATTAATGGGCTGTTTGTAGCAAACATTGCACTCATTTCCCATTGCCTTTAACGGAATCACTTCTAGAATGGTGGCTCGACATATAGGGCACTCTCCCGATCCTAGCCATTGCTTGACCGCGCATTCGTGACACATACACACGTGTCCGCACATGTATAGTACGCTATTAATGGGCTGTTCGCAGCAAATGATACACTTATTTTCGGTTGCATTCAACGGCTCTATAGAAACAATATAAACAATTTAGTAAAATATAAATTAAACATCAATTTCAATATAAAACATACCGGAGTTACTGTTAGTGTTGTTCAGTTTGGGAGAACTCGACGAGTTTGGGGTCAGTCTTACAGTCAAACCATTATTTTGTGTAGTAATGGGACGCGACGTTTGTTGGCTATTCCGGGAGTCCATCACTTGTGCACAATTGCCAACATTTTCAGGCGTTTCGTTATCACAAGTGCCTAACAATACAAAACATGCCATTAGTTTAATGCCTTTAAATTAATTATATGGTATATGTGTTTCACAAATATACAGAAGTAAACAATAATTACCTAAAACTTTCACTTTATTTGTATTGCCGTAGAGATCAAAGAAAGGCCACATTCGTTGAGTGGAGTCGACGTGCATTAAAGTCTGGACGGGTTCACGATTGTGAGTCATGTGGACTTCACCGCTCTCTGTCATCTTAAAGGCCATTTCATCGCCCGCTTGCGGTCCGTTTGCCACGTCTTTGATTACAACCCAATACTCAGATCTATCCAACAGTTGGTGCGAATCTTCGGGCAAATCATTGCTATTAATAGTCGACGGATCGCAAGTCGTGAGTCCAAAAGCAAGGCTTCCTTTATATCTGTCATCGGTCTGTAAAACTTGGATCACAAGCTTTTGACCCAAACGTAAGGGACGCTCTGCAAAGACATATGCCTGACAATAGTCGCCATTCCGTTGAGCGACCGTCGAGTCGGCCGACAGCCGCACGTTTTCGCCATGGATTGAGTGAAACAAAATTGTCGTTAAATTATTGGTCCCGGAGTTCGCCGGACGACAAAGTTTTGGAGAACACGCTATAAATAGGCAGAAAAGTCATTAGATTTTTATTATAATTTACTCTATTATTTGTACCCATTATTGAAATCACTGATATATTAATAGAGTATTACTTAAACAATTGAATATAACACAGAAATAATGAAATGATAAATAAATAATATATAAAACGAAGCAAACAATGTTTGGAGCATTGAATTGAAGCATAAAATGGCAAATATTAATGTGAGATTGACTTTTATATTAATATTGTGAGATAAAACATGAAATGATTGGAAATATTCACAATCACTATATGATGAGTAAAAATGTGGTGAAATATTGATCATTAAAGTTAACACATGATAACATATCTCAATTAAAATCTAATTTTCATACAGAGATTATACTAACGTAAAGTGAGAATATTTGAGTTGACTTTCTCTTTGTCTCCGAGTTTGTGATTAAGAGAATCTCATTTCAATCATTTCCACAACACTTTGTTACTCAAAATCATTCATATTTTGTCCAATTATTACAAATATATTGAATTTTAACAACTCTTACATTGATTATAATGGAATTAACCATACATTTAGTGCCTAAAAACAATTGACGGCCAATAAAGTTATTACTGTATAAAATATGTCAAAATTAGAATTTTTTGATCAATAATTAAAGGAAATTGTTTTAATTAATATCAGTTTTAAAGAGTTTGAAAACTTTTATTTGCAATTAATATCATAAATAAATTTGGTTCTAAAGAATACAAATTTACTGTAAATACTGTAATTTTAATATTAGTTTATTTTAAAAAACCAACAATTTTTGAATCAATCGAATTATTAAGCCGTAAGTTTGAAGACGGGATCAGATGTTGGAATTGGGAATAATTGGGCGAATGAAGAGGAGGTCATACCTCCGACACCACTCCCACTTAAATACCTTAACATTACGACAATATTCGTTGCCTTTCAGGCTCTTCACACATTCTTGAGATCCGGCAAACAGTTGTTTATACAAAGTCTCGATCTTTAAGTTAAATATAATAAAACTTGTAAACCATTAAAATATACAACAAAATCACATTTTACTCACATCTCCGACAACTTTGCCGACGATTGGATTCTTAATATTCTCTTCTAATTGCCATCCAATCATCATTGCATCCAATCCTTGGAATTCTAGCACTACTTCGGTTCCGATTCCCAGCTTTTCGTAAAGCAAACACTCGACCGAATCGTTTCGATGATTATTTCTGAACCCGATTTCATCGCAGACCATATGGTTTGTGATTTCGGCCAAAGCTCTAACACCTTTTAGTCTTCGGTTTCCATCACTTATACCTTTGAGTCGTGTGTTTAAAGCATCGGTTCCCAGGATTTGTTGCAACCCTTGAGTATAGTTAACGTTAAACATGTAATAACAGTTGAAACCCATATCTTTGGACGTTTGGCTTCTTTTCATAATCAATGTCTGGCATTGATTTAAGTTGTTTTGAATCGTTTGGATCAGCTCTGCCTCTGAATAGCCGGCAATCGCTTTATTGAGACCCATAACACACTTTTGGTCTGATTCAGCGTCATTTAGAGTTGGATAACGACAAATGCATTTTACTATTAAATCAAATAATATTATAAATAATTATAAAGAATTAAGATAAATTATAAATTATATTCAATGGCAAACATACTCTCAATGATAGCAATGCTAATCATAAGCATAGACTGAAATAATGAATTCATTTTTCTATAATTTTAATTTGATTAAAATGACTAAAATTTGTATTGAATTGTTTGAAACAAATGCTCACTAATTTATACATTTTCAATACCTGTATCAATCTATCGTAAAACAAATTAACTATTTTTTATAATTGATTACAAATTTGTACATTTTTGCCCATTTATTATTAATTGTCATATTATTTATTACATCATATAACTAATTACATCGTTATTAAGTTATATCAAAATCAAACACATGTTTCGGAAATATATTCAATGATTATATCTAATTAATTGTATTAAACTTATAGTTTGGCATGTTGTATTACAGAATTTTTACATTATATGATATTCATATTTTCTAAAATTCATAAACACAATTTATTTTTACAAAATATCAATGTAAAAGTGATCATAACTTAATAACCTAGAGGGTTTATTAATAAATAGATACAATAAATTAATACCGTTTATTGTATACTTTCATAGCATACTTATTGACAACTTTAGAAACTTTATTAAACAAATAAAACAAACTATAAGTTTAAGACAATTAATGAAATTATTTTAAATGTTGAAAATGAATTAAAATTATTTCCAAAACATGTGTTAGTATTTGATATAACGATATAATTATTTGTGATAAATAATATAATTTATAATAAATGGACAAAATGTACAATTTTGTAATCAATAATAAAAATACGTTTAATTTGTTTTATAATAGTTTGACTAAAACGTGAAAATTATATAATAATTTGTTTACAAATGCTTCTAATTTTTGTAATATGAATTGTATGTCCGCTCATAACCCATGCCATCCGATCCCAAGACCGAAGTGTTGGGAACCGTTCATCACTGACCACACAATCAATCGTCAAATCAATTGAGGGTCTGTTTCGCGCTCCGGAAGGCATGGCGTGTATAATCATCGCGGGTTCGGCCGACTTCTCATTGGATGAGAAGCTATCGAAACATACTATAGAAATGATTCTTTGAAGTATGATCTTAATTGTCATCACATTCTCACTACACTTCGCACCAATTCTTATCATTCATTTTTAACAGTCTTTTGCCACTTTATATACAAATTACTATATATTGTAACAATATTTTCTAATTATTTTTTCGATGTAATTAAAATTCATAATATTTCTTATAATATTTTAAATTCAAAATATAACTTGTAGTTAATTAAAGTGATAAATTAATAATTATTATTGACTGCATAAGGATTAGTGAGTTATTTATTATATTCAATTTGTACATGTGTAAATTCATATCCAAAATACTGTGCATGTAGGTAAGCATAAGCCCTTTTGAGATTAATGATAAAATCTAAAGCATTTTAATACTGAAATTATTAAACATGGTATGAAATTTTGATTTGATTTTAATAAGTGATACCAATATTGGGATTTTAACGTAAATAAATTTTAATAACAATTATATTTAGTAATATAATAGTCAATAATGTATTAGAAGTCAACTTTGTATAAAATATAATAATAGATACTCTATTATATAAACTCAATTCAAAAGCAAATTAGCCTAATATTGCACCTGAATTAATTGACACAGCTTTACATACATGTGCTTTCAAAATGTGTTACAAATTATGTAATTTTTAAAACTAAACTATTTTATAATCTGCTTAAGAATTTATGTTTCGTCTAATTTGTTGACAAATCAATAGATAAAATATGATTTTATTAATGATTTTACTTTTTATTAAATTAATTAATGGCAAACAATTTAGTTCAAGTGATTGCGGAACCGGCGATAAGTATCTAAGAATTAATAATTATACTGTTATTCCACACCCAGTCAAATATCCTGGTAAATTAGTTCATTGTTTCAATCTATCAATAAATATTTATATAATTAACACCAGGGTCTGTGACGCTAACCATAGACATGGATGTACTCAAAGACATACCGAAAGAGAATACAAAGACCAGAATATCTGCCGAAAGGATTAATCCATCGAAAGTGAGGATTCCCTGTGTGTTTGGCATCGGCTCGTGGTATGGCTTACGTTAACAATCACTTAATTGGCACTTAATTTTGATCAATCAATTTGAAAGTACTGTCGATTATTGCGTCTTTTGGCGTGAAATATATGGTATACTACCAAACAAGACGGCGCCCGACTGTCCACTAAATGTTGGCCATTATGTGTACGATAGGGCGCATGTAGTCATACCAACGTTTGGCATTTTTAACTTCTTTTTAGGCATTATTGAAGTATTTTTATTAATTTTCAATCATTGAATTTAATCTAAATTATAATGCAATTGAATTTAAGGGCGATTTTTCAGCAAATCTAACATTTGTCGACTCAAAGACCAGTAAAATATTGGGCTGCAGTCACGTCGGCTTTACCATTGATCTCAGTAATGATAAAAAGAAAAAGGCCAAGCTCATTCGACCATTTGGATAATTATTTTTAATATTCAATTTGCTAAATCATTAACTAATTTAAATTATTTAAATAATTAAATCCCAAAAATGTTACTTAAAATCTATTAATTAGTTTTGGCTGAAATAAAACCAAAATACAAGTGCTTACATGTGTATAATTATTAATACATATGTTTTGGTGATTTTAAAATAAGTTAAACAAGCGCTAAAAGTATAGCAAATATTTAATACATTATTTATTCAGAATAGACTCGAGATTGACATAAATAATATAATTATGAAACCAATAGGAAATGTAGTACTTGTGGTTATTTTGGTGTCAATCGGTTTAATTGATTGCTCTGAAAATAATTTCACCGATTGTGGATCAAATGACAAGTTAATGGTATTTAAGAATATCACCCTAGATCCGCATCCAATCAAATACCCTGGTAATATATCTCATATTTGTGCTATCAGTCCAATACTATAACACTAAATGTTAGGTACGTTGAAGCTATCGGTGACATTGGATGTGCTAAAAGACATTGATTTGAGTGATTCGCAGCTCAAACTGAAGATCGAGAAGGTGTCGCCAAACAGGGTTAGGATTCCCTGTATCTTCCAACTTGGTTCCTGGTATTAGACTTTACATAACAAATTATTACATAATAATTAATTTTAAAATTGTGTATAAAGTGGATATGTTTTGTGCGATTTGTGGAAAAAATATATTCATATAATCAAAAAACATACCATAGATCGGGTCGTAAGCGACAATTGCACTCTCAGTGCCGGTACTCTCACTCTAAGCAATATTGAACTAAGAATAGGACGCTTTGCCTTTTTGAAGGCTTATATTCAGGTATTGAATGATTTGTATATAAAAATTGTTGATAACTAAATCATAACAATCTAATTACAGGGCGATTACACTGTGAATGCAAACATACATACAATTAGCAATGAGAAGACATTTGCGTGCATTCAATCAAACTTTACAATTGAACAAAATCTAAGCAAAATTGAAACGGAAAATGAACTAGATTACTATTAAATTAGAACTAATTATTCCATAAATATTAAATATAATGGTGTAATCATTTGTAAATCAATCAAAATTATTTCATAATTATATTAAAACAATAATAAAACAAACTTAACAGAAATATTTAAAATGCATCTATTTTTGAATATAAATGGTATGTCCGCTCATAACCCTTGTCATCCGATCCCAAAACCGAAGTGCTGGGAACCGTTCATCACTGACCACACAATCAATCGTGAGATCAATTGAGGGTCTGTTTCGCGCTCCGGAAGGCATGGCGTGTATAATCATCGCGGGTTCGGCCGACTTCTCATTGGATGAGAAGCTAAGGACACATACTATAGAAATGATTCTTTGAAGTATGATCTTAACTGTCACTCCATTCGCACCACACTTTCCATCACTTCCTATCATTCATATTCAACAGTCCTTCACTACTTTTACTCAATTTATTTCATAACTTTATAAAGTATTGATGAGATTATTTCGATCAATAAATAAATAATAATATTATTCTTATTATTCTATATAAAAAATACTTAAAATTACAAGTAATTTAATTAAATATGCTAAACAAGTTAAATTTTTTTAATTCAAAGCATATATACTTTACCTAAATGTATACTCTCTATACAAATAGTTGAGAGACAAGTTTTATTGGGATTATAATGGCTTATAATATTTGTACGATTACATTAATAATGCATTGAAAACAGGTGTTACTGTTGCTCAAAGCTGTCGACAGCATCATTACCTTTACCTTATTTCTAATTAATTAAAACAATTAATACAAAAGTTGTAACTTTTATTGGTAAAATGAATAATTTAATTAAATTACTGTAAATTAAATAATATTAAATACAATTGTAAACGAGATTATCGCTAACCAAACGCTGTTATGTCAAACAGTGTTTTAAATCATAAATAAAAGCATATATTTATAAGTATTTACGTATAAAACATTTATTACAAGAATTGTCACATAATTACCGCTTGAATACAAGAATCAAAACTAATTGAATCCAACTCTTAAAGTAATAAATTATTTGTCGGTTAAGTAGTAGTATTGGTAGAGCTAATCGTTATAGTTGACAGCCCAGGGACATATGGCCGCAAATATATACAACAGGGTAAATATGATCCATAGGAATGGGAACAGAATTCTTGAGCAATAATCAACTTTATTCCTCGAGAGCGGGTCTTTCCAATAGTCGACCTCACCGTAGAAGAAGATCAGTACCCTCTCAATCACTTTACCGGATCTCTTGAACCAATTCTTGTTACCGAAGTAATGGCCCCGAAGTTTAGTCATATCAAAAGCGCTGTTTGTGTTGTTGTTATTATTCTGCATAATTATGGATCAATTATTAAGTAATACAAAAGTACTGATTAATAGTCAAAAACTGACCGCTTGTAAGGCCTTCTTCTCGTTGATAAAATGAGCCCACGATATGGCCATCGCGTACTCAATGAGCGCCAGAAAGACAAATACCTGACACCAAATCATCCACCAATGGATTGCCACCACATATGACACACTTATGTCGTTATTAAGTGAGATGTCTTGTGTGATCAAACTCAGGAGTGGTGTCACCAGAATTGTTACCTAAATATATTACACAATAATTTATTAATTATTAATACTGTTGAGACATGTGATAAGTGAGACATACCCTGGCGGGCCAGCCCAGGATTGGTATCCAGAACTAAATTTAATAGTAATTAATAAATTAATGAATAAATAATATGAAAGCATGTGTTAAATGATGACAAACCCCGACAAAAGTGACGATAACGGAGAGAAATGTGGGCGCATAGACACGGATCACATAATAGCTGACCCGTCGCACCAGTTTGAGTGTGGCTTTCATACACGAAAAGTTACCCGAATATGAAGTTCTAACACATGTTTCCGTATAAGTACTCCTAATCCTGAACTTCGGGTATTGAGTGAATGCGGACACAAATTCATCCCAGAATAACATTAATTCCGATGAAGTTTTAGTGACTAAACGAACGGTTTAAACAATATTTAGCAACAATTACTTCACTTGTATTTAACTAATAACTCACGACTGACGGCCTCTATAGAGCACATCTGATAATCCTGTGGATAAGCGGATAAATCCATTTTACATATGAATTTGCCGCTCATTCTTGCCGTATATGTTATGTTATTATTGAGACCTAACGCTAAATACTGAATATTGAGACCGGAGTTGACTATAGAGGCGGACAAAGCGTTTTGAAAATATATGTCTGGAGTCCAGAATTTTGGGACATAACTGCTGTCAAGTATTATGTTATCGATTGTATTGTTTGTGTTTTGAATGAGAGCTTTGATTGTAGACATGTTTAATCGATTGTCAAACCACTTGAGTTTCAATGTTAGGTCCAATTGAAAACTCTATTGCATTTAAGTTAATAATGATAAAAATTATTATTATTATTGAATGTGTCAATAATTAATTATATAATAAATCAATTAAATAATAAAATAGATGCTATAAGTTATAGCCTATAATAGAAAAACAACTAATAATAACAAATATATAAAGTGTTGCGAAATTAATTTAAGAATGACATTAAGAGAATTAAATGCAAGAATTATTGACGTGAATCTTCATAATTAAGTTAATACAGGTTAACAAAAGCTGTTAATCTAATTGTTTTACGCAATTTAGCGATGAGTACTAAATATTAATTATTAAATATGTAATAAATGTTAGGTAATTGTTTATATCTAAACAATGACAGAGTGATTGATTTACAATCTCAAGTTATAACAGGTTTAAATAGCTTATAATACAGTATTTGTTTTAATTAAAAGTTAGAAAAATTTTGTTTTAAATAACATTTTAATATTAAAAACTTAAACCAAACAGAAATAGTGAAAATACAAACCGAATCGGATTCAGTGACGGCCAGTAAATCATTGACAATAACACTGATGTTGACGTTTGTTACGCCTATGAAAGCAAAAGTTTTCAATTAATTTTAAAGTTAAAAACAATATTCAAAACAATAACTGGAAATAATATAAAATATTATGAATGATGTGAAAATACCTGTGGGATTGGGCGCTGTTTTTGGGTCATAACCTTGAGGTATAATATTGGCCACAGAATAGGCCTGAGCTCTGGTATGCGATACAAGAATTGAGACCAGAATATAGTGAACGCACAGAAGAAGGCATTTATTCTTCATTTCGCGCAAACCTTTTTGCTATAAATGAAAAGCAAAAACAAAACTAAGAGCTTCTTATAAGTAAAATTCTTAGCACTGAATATATATTAAATATTGTGAAAGTGTAGCAAAAAAGCTCATCAATACTATAAATCAAATATCAAACCACTTATCAAATGTATGTATAATAAGTGACTCGACTTTTTTCCGGAAAATATAAGTCAATTCTTCAATCAAAACCTATCATCGATTGTTACAATTGAATGACTCAACACTTAATATAACTTATAAAATACCAGAATTTCATTCAAATTTATTTTAGTAATCGCTGTTTTTGTAAAGAATTTGCGGCAAATGTTCAAAAACATACAGTTTTTACGCTTAAAGCGTGAGATAAGTAATTAATTTTTATAATAGTCTATTTTATATCAAACTTACCATTCGTTATATGATTTAAATACGCGAAAAGAGTCAATAATCACAACACACGCGGGTTTACGTCGATTGCAAAATTGCAAAACAATATCAGGTGTTTGTATTAAACTATTGATATTGTTATACAATGTTATTTATTTTAATACCAATTTAGTGTTACATGCACATTTTGCAAACAACAAAAATCTACTAACTTTGAATTCATTTGACTGTTTGCTAATATTAATCCAAATATGAAATACTTGAATTAATTGCCTGATTATTACTTAATCAATGATAGCACGAGTTCCGTGATCTATACTCCCAGACTAAAGACTTATACATTTTATTAAATATTTGGCATTAAATAATGTACGTGGAGTGCAAAGAACATATCCAGGTCGATTTAAATGTTCAAAAACAATTATTTTATAAGTACCGATTATGTGCTCTATTAATTTAAAACTTAAATTAAAATTATATAATAATATTATACAAGCTCATTAATTATTTCCGATAACTTATCATAATCCTTTTCATACTAATTTTGCTGGGTTCATTATAATTATATAAAATATTATGGTATTTGTTGCCTCATGTCTGCTGTCAATATCATTGTCGCCAATACCTTAACGTATTAATATTAATAATGTACTGTATTCAAAGTTCTCAAAGTTACCATGAGGGGTATTAATGTTATAAGATGTCTCGGGATCTCTTACGTTAGATAGTAATGTATATTTTACATATACAGTAAATTATACAATACATCAGTTATTGTAATTCATCAGTTAAATCAAATGTGACATTAAGAATGACATTATCTCAACACAAAACACTTCACATGTGCTTATAATTGATAATACATTTACATTTACAACATTTAATTTAAGTTAAAAAACTTTATTTAAAAGTAAATATTAGGATAATATACTGTAGATATTTAAATATAACAATTATGAAGATATTAGGCATTTATGTTATCATTGTTTGCAACTGTTTTTGGCTTAGGGGTCGGCGATTGAACTGTACTGGTCTCTGAACCCCAACCGCATTTTAACATAAGAAATATAATGAAGGATAACAACAGTACAACTGATATAACAATTATAACACAAATCAATATCAATACAAAATCGCTGTCTTTGTTGCCATCAAAACTATGAGCATTATGTTTATCATCTGTCAAAGAATACACATTCATTACATTCATATTTACTGCTATCATAATGTAAAGCATTATTATATTTAAAATGTTAAGCAATAATTACGAAAATTGGGTCTCCATGTGATGTCTGTGTAATTGCTATCATAATCAACATTCATATCATTGGAACCATTAAAGGGATGGCGAGTTGTGGTCCGCAGATGTGGTGGCAATACCGGTGGGTCTGGGGGTAAGCCTAGCGCACAGCCCATCCACGTTGAGTAGTATTGTGTCACTATTGTCTTATATCGGAGTTGACCCTAAAAAGTCAATAATCATTGATTAATTCAATTAATTGGCGCTAACTTAAAGAAAATACAAACTTTTTGCACTAATTTCAAGTCAACGTTAAACATGTAGTGAGAGTTGTCCTGAAATAAGGAGATATCGGCCTCTTCGGGGTCACTAAAACCGTACATCAGATAGACAGCGGCCGTATTGACTGGTTTTGTCATTTTCCAGAGCGCTCTCTCCAACGGCCCGCCGAAGGTTTGAACGGCTTTTCCCTCAAACGTATGGTTGGAGTGAACACAACCTTCGAGTCGAATCCAATCGTAATAATAGGTATTATTATCGGCCGACGAGAAGACGAAAAGGTTTTCAGCGCCTAATTTGCCGGCAAACGGACCGCTCATAATAGGGCTGAAGTTTATGATTGTGTCCACACTTTTGAAACCCTTATAGATGTCAATGTGTTTGAGAGAGGGGTCGAGTTTGGCGTCGGCCACACCCGGAATCCACGTCTGGTTATGAGTGAAATAAGTTTTGTATTTAATTTTGTGCGGATTTTGTAAGTCATTGTCGGCGATGACAACCATTGGTATAAACACGGAGTCATTGCATCGCTTCCACATCCGAAAGAAGGCGGTGTCGGCTCTAAACCCGTCGGGAAGTCGGCCCAAACAGTTAGCGGCCGTCGCGACCATTGATTCGTTTAATAACCAATAATAACCACCGCTTGCTATGAAATAAGCGATCGACAGCTTATTGTTGTTGGAAACTATGATTTGTGTCATTGAATCCATTCTTGAGGAATGTTTACACATGTCTGGCGGACCCGTATTTGATGCCATGGTTGTTGAGGAACTGTTACCACTTATTGCAACATTTATTTTACCACAAATTACTATTAAAATTATTATAAACATAATGATTTAATCAGAAGAGCTATGGATTTAAGACTTATGCACTTAATTAACAGAAATTAATTACAAATTGTTTTTTGAATTGAACTGAAAATATTAAAAAAATACCGACAATATCAGTCAATTAGTTCACAATTAATAAATAAACAATCATTTAAAATTGATTAAATAAAATAACGCATTATGTTTTATTGTTATATTGTTGGATTTAATGTGTAATTAGTAATTAACAAACTTAATTATCTAAAATATCTAATTTTAGTAATAATAAGTGTATCTTAAAGTTAATTAATATCTTAACATAAACAGGATTATATGATTGTCAAATTGTAATTAATAACAGACATTATATTTTGCTGATTTTAAAATTCTATGTTAATAATTACATAATATAAAAATCTATTGAACAATATTTAAAACCCTGTATTCAATGTATAAATGTTTAAATGAATAACATAGTATTTAACGTTATATAAATTATTTTTTAAAACAACAATTATATAACGCGATGTTTCAATGTTTTAAATATTCAAATGTAATCAATTTATTATTTTACAAAACATAATGTGTTTAATAATCAATTAAAACACATAATTATTTAAATTGAAAACCAGTTTAAAATATTTAAACCAATTTCAAGCTATTTGTATACTATTTGAATCCTAATTTGGGTGTCAAAAAACATGAACAACTTTATGGTCACATCAATGCTAATTACATGTGTTTGGTTTGGGTTTGAGTTTGGGTTTGCAGTTCCGGTAATATTATCACCAAATTGTATCTCAAAGACAACCATTTATTTTAACAATATTTCTGATGACAACGAATGCAAAACACATTTCATTATAGAATCCATTCTGTAATCCAAACCAATGGAGAATCGATTCAATAGTTTTGTTGAACAATACAAACAAAGCGATTACTTCTCCGACAATCGTATACTTTATAGACAATACCGTTGTCTTTGGATTACACAACAGTTCCCATAGCTATCACTTCAGTCATGTCAATGATGTCTTCAAAGGCGATCCAATCGACACACCCGTAGACGTGGTCTATGCGAACGGCACAGACGTTATTGAGATCATTAAACTTAAAGTTTGCATTCATTGCAAGACATTTACTAATGATTTACATAAATATCTTATTTCTCGCCTAAACTCTAGAAACTGACCCAAACTTACACCAAATGGCGAATCGATTTCATTAAAAGGCAGGTCTTAGGCGTACAGAGTTTGCCACAACTCATGAGAAAAATGTTCACAACAAATATCATCGCTGTTATGGACGTCAATACGACTCACGCAACGGTTGTGTCCAATAGTGGTTACGTCACTGTCTATACAGTGGATCTACTGACAGGTGAGACAAGCAATCGCTTGGATCTGTTAAAAGATGGCAAACAAGTAATGTTAGGAAAGCCTGCGACCAATTGGACTCATGTCTCACAACTCTATGTCTACGAAATATCAGCCGCTTATCGGGAAAAGGATAACATCTATACGTTTGTCGCCAATCGGTATGAATTGAGGGCCGAAGCGAACAAATGGACAGAATATCGCATCGAAATCAATCCCTTGAGTGTAAAGTCATGCAAACCATCGAAACCGCGATCACAACAGTATCAGAGAGTAAGCGACAGCGAAATGATTGGACAGTCATCTGAGAACCGGCGCCGTAAACAACCGAAAAAATCAAATTTTTTTTGACATTTTTGGGATAATATGGTTTATATTTATGGCCATGATGATCGGCTGTTTTTGTTGCTGTGTCTTATGCCAGATATGTTGTGTAGCTTTTGGTGGCGCCCAACCGATACGGCGCCGACCCTATGGCCGAAATCGTATGCTTTTAGGCGCGATGTTAATGGAGTCAAACGCCGGACGCCATCCAAATGATGTTCAGTGGGTGACCGACGGTAGCCCTTACAGAGGTGTCGGCTCCGCACCGCTATAGACGGGTCGGTCAATAGTTAAGAGGCGAGAAAAAAGTTACCGATAATGAGAGCTACGAAAGGGAGTAAATGCTGTTTTTTAAACATTTTCATTATTTTGTTGTAATGTTTAGTTAACTTATTTAATGAAAATTATTAAATCTTGAATTTATAAATTTATTACACAAAATATACATTTATATACAAATATGTATTTATTTATAACTTTATTTAATAATAATAACTTAATCTTTAAAATTTTATTTACATGTTATGTATTGTCATAAAACACTTTCCACATTAATTACATCAAATGTATCTTTTCATTTTGGTTGCGTAAAATATTATATAACATTAATCGCACATGGTTAGTTTTGTCATGAAATTCATTTTACACATATTTTCATTACATATACATTATAGCGAAACCATAAAAAATGTTAAAATTTTAAAAGTTACATTTATAAATTCAAAATCAAAGCCATTTTGAATGGGCGATTAAAGTGGTTACATTTCGCTCTACCTCCGTGAAACATATTCTACCCATAAATTAGACATATATTTACTAATTTTAATAAAATATTATATAACATTAATCGCACATCATGGTTAGTTTTGACATGTCATAGAATCGTCACATTTTGCCCATATTTTCATTGCATACACATTATAGCGAAACAATAAAAAAATTTTAAATAAAAGTTACAAAATTTAATGATTATATATAAACAATTCAACAATTCAACAAAAATAACCATAAAATAGGGAATATTATTTGTGATTTTCAAATCTCTTGGTTTGACATTAGGAATAATTTAATTGATTTCCAATCTTTGATTAAGTTAAAATGACTTTATTTAAAACATTAAAGTTTATGAATCAGAGTAAATATTAGGGTAAAAATTGATATTTATTTATAACAATTGTGAGATATTAAGCAGTTTTGTTACTATTGTTTGTAACGGTATTTGGTTTTGAGATCGGCTTTTGAACTGCTTTAATGTCTGAACCAAAACCTGCTCTTAATATAAGAAACATAATGAAGGCTAACGACAGTACA